GGTGACCTCGGTAGAGGAGGACATGAGTAAGTGGATAGATGACTGTTCTGAGACTAGTCAGCCTCTTTCCTCAGTCACCCCTGTCATTGCCAATGGGCTCATGAATGAAGTAGCCATGGTGGCATGGATGGAGGCTGTGCATGGGCTCTGCAACATGGACTTTCACTCACCAAAGCTGACCTGGCTATGGTCACTGCTGAGTGTCCACTCTGCCAGCAGCAAAGACCAACATTGAGAGTCCCTGATATGGCACAATTCCCAGGGTGATCAGCCAGCTACCTTCCCATGGGTTGATTACATTGGACGACTTCCCATCAAGAAAAGAACACCATTTCGTTCTTAGTGGAATAGACACTCTAGATATGGATTGGCCTTCCCTGCATACTTCTAACAAAACTACCATCCATGGACTTACAGATTGCCTTATCCACTGTTATGGTATTCCACACAGCATTGCTTCTGATCAAGGAACTCATTTCACAGGCAAAGATGTGCAGCAATGAACTCATGCTCATGGAATTCACTCCCTGAAGCAGCTGTCTTGATAGAATCATGGAGTGGCCTTTTGAAGACACAAAGTGGGCACAGCACCTTGCAGGACTGGGGCAAGCTTCTTCAGAAGGGTTATATCTTCTGAATCAGCATCCTATATATATGGTGTTGTTTCTTCCATAACATGGATTCACTGGCCTAGGAATCAAGGGGTGGAAATGGGAGTGGCACAAATCACTACCACACTAGTGATCCACTAGCAAAATTTTTGCTTCCTGTTCCTGTGCCCTTTGCTCTGCTGTACTAGAGATCTTTGTGCCAAAGGGAGGAATGCTTCCATCAGGAGACAGAACAACAATTCCATTGAACTCTCAGTTAAGACTGCTACTGAGCCACTTTTGATTCCCCATGTCTCTGAATCGACAGGCAAAGAAGGGAGTTACAATGTCAACTAGGGTGACTGATCCTGCCTACCAAGGAGGAATTATACTTCTGTTCCAGAATGGAGGCGAGGAAGAGTATGTCTGAAACATGGGAGATCCCCTAAAGCATCTTAGTATTACCAAGTCCTGTGATTAAGATCAATGGAAAAGTACAACTCAATCCAGGCAAGATGACTTAGCCAAGTAGTGGCTAAGACCCTTCAGAAATAGACTGGGTCACCCTGACAGGTAAAGAACCATGACCAGCTAAGGTGCTTGCTTAAGGCAAAGGGAATAAAGCATGGGTAGTGGAAAAAAGTAGTCAGTCACAAGTACTACCTACGACCACATGACTAGTAAGAGGAATGAAGACTAATTCTCATGAGTATTTCCTCCCTATTTTGTCATGGATCTTTGTGTCAGTTTTAGTCTTAGTTCAGGCTGCTGTAACAGGGTACCATAGACTGGGTGCCTCATAAACAACAGAAATGTATTTCTCACAGATCTGGAGGCTGAAAGTTTGAGATCGTACCAGTTTGACTGGATTCTGGTGAGGTTCCTCTTCCAGGTTGTAGACTGCTGACTTGTCCTTATATCCTCACATAGCAGAAAGAGGTTGAGGAGCTCTCTGGGGTCTCTTTCTGTAAGGGCACTAATCACATTCCTGCAGACCCCACCCTCATGACATAGTGCCTTCCAAACGGCCTTATCACATTGGGGATTAGGATTTCAACATATGAATTTTGGGGAGTCATAAACATTCAGTCCCTAACACACGCTATATGTTTGTTTTCTTCCTTCTCTTATTCTCTTACCTTATGATAGATATATTGATATAACATTTAAGTATTAATTTTATATATTAAGTAATGGGATATTATGGAGAAGAGTAAATATCACTCAAATACCTCGTTTTCTCTTCTGGGAAAGGAGTTGGTGTGTTTTCAGTTGTATGCAAGGTAGTCGTTACCGTGAGGTGAAATTACGACATTGTTATTGTCTTTATTTGGAGTTTATGGTTTAAGGAGATGTGTATGGGTTCCAAACTGACAAAGGGTGGACTTGTGATAGTTAATTTTGTGTTTCAACTTGACTGGGCCATGGAGTGCCCAGACATTTGCCCAAACATTTTTCTGGGTTTATCTGTGAGGATTTTTCTGAATGACATTAACATTTGAATCTGCAGACTTGAGTAGATGGCACTCAATAATATGGATGGGTCTCATCCACTCAATTTAAGACTTGAAAAGAAAAGAGTAGAGTAAGAGGGAACCCTTCCTGCCTGACTGCTTGAGCTAGAACATGAATCTTTTTCTGCAACCAAACTTGGTCTGAAACATTGGCTCTTCTTGGGTTTTGAGTCTGCTGGCTTTTCAACTGGAACTACATCCAGTTCTCCTGGTTCTCAGGTTTTCAGATTCAAACTGGAACTTATGGGTGCTTGCAGATTTTGGCACTTCTCGGCCTCCATGAATGCATAAGCTAATTCCTTAATAACCCCACCCTCTACCCACATATGGTACAAACACACACAAGCACTATTGGTTCTATTACTCTCCAGAATACTAATAAAACCCACCCAACCTCCCACCTTGCCTCACAGCACCCTTTGAATCCCCTGTCTAAGCTTGACTTAACAGGGTATAACCATTCAGAGCTCCTCCATGGGTCTAAGCTTAAGAGTGGGGACCAGGTATTATCCCTAGTCCCTAACCCTCTGCCTGACACACAGTCAGTTCCTCCAGGGCTCACCTTCTGCTTTCCTGCCTGCTGAGTACTTGGCTGTCAAGATTTCTGTGCTGGCTCCCAGATGGCTTCAGCCAGACTATACTGGGGGCTGCCTTGTGCATTTCCTCTGCTCCTTTGAGTGATGTTGCCCTTCGTCTCCTCAGAGCAGCAATGAGATCCTCCAAAGCTCTTTCAAAGTAGGGCCTAGTGGAGCCAAAGGCAGCTTCCAGGATGTCAGGGCTAGACCTGGCCGTCCTCAATTGGCCTTCAACATTTCACTTGGCCTATGGCTTTTAGCACTAATCACAGAGGAAAGCTGCAAAAGCACAGGGCATGGGGTTGGAGTGGCATGGAAGAAAGCACATAGGATTCAGAACTAGAAGATGCAGGTTCCAGGCATATTTCTTTCAGTTACTAAGTGTGAATTTGAATAAGTCACTGGAACTCTGCAACCCCTTTGTTTTTTGTTTTCATTTGTTAAATGAAAATAATAAAATCTACCTCATCGGGTGGTTGTGTGACTAAAATGAGACTATGTAAAAAGCACTTTGTCAACTGTGAAATATAATTATAAGCCTCTCGAAATGGATCTATCCTTAGAAGTTTTCCAAAACTAAAGAGGGAAGAATTTTAGTGACAGCCTTTGAATTCCAAATATGTATGAGTGAGCCAATGAGGAAGAGGAGGCTAGAAGGACACAGTGAACAAAGTGGACCAGATAGGTGAATATAAAATCTTATTTACATTGAAATCTATGTGGACAATCTCTAGTTATCAAATTATAGCTCTTCTTCACAAGAGCTGAAAAGGAGCAAGAAACATTCCAAAATACTCAACTACTATACTCTGAAGTAACAGACTGTCTGTAACCATTAGCTGGGAAACATGTTACTACAGACCTTGGAAAACATGTTACAGGATACTGTGTTTATTTGGTTAATCTGCAGAGTATGTTTGTTATAGAAAACTGAATTTGCTCAAACCATAAATGAGCTTACCAACCCTGGTTAATTTGCTCATCACTATGTATTTGATATATTTTGCAAGTCAGAAAGCATTCAGTACATACCTATGAGAATGGCTAAACTTTTAAAAACTGAAAATACTAAATGCTGATGAGGGTATAGGGAGCCACTAGAACTCTCATACATTGTTGACAGAAATGCCAAATGGTTATGACTTTGGAAAATGGCTTGGCAATTTCTTACAAAATTAAACATACACTTATCCTTTGACCCAGCAATCCTATTCGATCCCAAAATGGTCTAGAGAAATAATAGCGTATGTCCACAAAAATATTAATAATTGCCCTGAACTGGAAATAATCCAAATGTCCACCAACATTTCATAGCACATCCATTCAATGGAACACTGCTCAGCAATAAACAGCAATGAATCAATGGTGCATGGCTAAATCTGAAAAGCATTACAAGTGAAAGAAGCAAAAACAAAAGGCTACATAACATAGGATTCCATTTATATGACATCCCAGCAAACGAGAAAAAATTAGAACTCACTGGATGCCAGGGCCTTAGGTTGGAGAGCGGGGATTTCCTGTAAAGAGCACTAGGAGACCTTGAATGAGCCAGACAGCATACAGACCTACAGAACTCAATCTTCTTAGCTCTTGTCAGACTTTTGTTTATTTCTTGGGGCTCCCCAAGGCGCTGGGGTGGAGACGGACTTTAGCTTCAACCTCAGCTTTCCAACTTTCCAGCTATGTTGACTTTAGACCAGTTAAATTCTCTCTACTTCAGGTTCCTCTACATACTTGACGTAAGTGTTGAAAGGTGTTCAAGGAGGTCAGTGTAAAGCACACTGGCTGGACACTTTTTCTCAAAGGAGCTAAATGATGTCAATAAGCAACCAACTGGTCTTCTTGATTACATCTCTAAAATCCATTAGAGCTTGCTGACCCATCCAGGTGGTGGAGCACCAACTAACAAAACCAGATCCATGAGTATGCAATGTGGCATCACACCGATTCCTGATCTCTCCCTATTACACCATACTCTCCAAAAGGAACTCTCAGCTCTAACCCAGTTAGTGTGTTTCTGGTCTACCATTTCTAAGTGTCTAAAGGCACTGACACTCAGTGGGCATAAGGCCTCCCATTCATAGGTCTTTCCTAATTCTTCAGTCTCTTGATTTTTTACTCCAGTTTCCTCTATGCACTCTTGTAAACTTTAATGCCTGTGTTACCAATTTCACATAGGAATTCTGCCTAACACACAATTAAAGTTTGTTGATACAATGATTATATTGAGAATCTGAAAACCTGATATAGGCAAAATAAGGACTTGAAGGATTTATGAGCACTTTGAGACACACAGAACACAGACACACAGAACAGGTTGCTAGAAGGCATCTATTACTTTATTCAATAATTTTGGAAATGGGATAGGATTACAAACCTTGTCCAGGCCCTACTCTTACAATGGGATACATAGAAGTCACTACAGGTAATGAAGCTAAAATGAACAATAAGCAAGTAGAGACAAAGAAAATGCAATGACTTTCAACATGCTATTGAAAGTTGGCCCAAAACTTTTTCATGAGTTATTTCACTGGTAATGAGTACAGCTGTAGCTTTCTATACCATCATACATGTATCCTAAGATTTCTAGAGAACACTAGTTTGTAATTTTAGATATTCACACTTAGGTAGTTCTGAGATGTCTCTGCTGCAAAGTGTCAGAGGGAAAAACAAACCCTTTTCAGCTTCCTTTCTCACAGCCAGGATTCTTTACAATCTATATTCTTCAGAGAGTGATTGCAAAGGAATTTCTTTCAAAGGACCGAATACACTTATTGGAGAAGAGATTCACATTTTAAATGATGGTTTTTAAAGTTTCCATTTAATTACTATAGTCGATCTTTGTTTTTCAGTTTCCAATTATTATTCTCAGCATAGCCTACGTACTAATTCACCATGATTTCTAAGCAAGTACTTATATACATGGGATGATTTTATTTTTTGTTAAGGCAACTGGAAATAAATGCTAGGAACAAATTCTGGCAGAGAAAAAGCTAAACATTTTTCTGCTGAACATGCCAAAAGTGGTGAACATGCCGATTTTGAATTACCTTCTGCCTTACCGGGCCAGAAGGCTTGATGTGTTATTTCCTCGCGTGATAGGTTTTTTTTTTTTCTAGCTATAGTAAAGTCCCAAAAGCAATTCTTTTGTAAAGGAATCAAAAGCTTTCATCTTTTGCTTACTCTTCATGTAAGGATTTGGAGGTAACATTCCAATAACTCATTTCTATTTGATGCAACCAGCTACCATAGAAAAAGCATGTCCTGCCTTCATGTATGCTCAACAAATTAAGAAAGTCACTGTCTGGAAACAGCCAACTTTCTTCCTCACTTCGGTAGCCCTGGGGTTGACTCAATCGTCTTCAATTTCTTCCTGTGGGTGTTTTTCATTTTTTCAGTTCACTTTCCTCTCCACCCCATCATTTCAAAGGGCTTAACAATGTCTTTCCTTTAGAGTGATCTTGTGTAAGTTTTTCCGTCATGGGTATGTCTGCAATGCATCTCTGCTGGGTTTTTTGTCTTGAGCCAGCATTCGTGGTTTACTCTCTCCTCAGTCTATCTTGTTCCAATTACACCGGAGAACTTTATTTCAATTCCCATGAATATACATGTAGAGCCCTAGTACTGTCCAGTGGAATAAATCTCATGTTCCTATTTTCTATTACTGGATAACATGTCTCATGAGTTTCTACTGTTTGCTCTGCCACAAGTTAAGAATTCCCTGTCCTAAGGTTTGTTGCCTCTCACTCCTATCAATTTGGCATTAAGCTTTTTCCTTTATCTTCACCTCTCTTGATGTCTAGAAGCAGAGGTATTTTCTTGGCGTGATGCTCAGCTTTTGGCCCAAATTATGGTTTAAAGAATCATCCACATTGACAATTTTAACAGTGTGCACCTGGATTCTAAGGAATCTTATTTTCTACTTCCTCTCTCTTGCTTTCAAGCTTATAAAAATCAAAATTATCCTCGATTTATTCTTGGATTTTCTAATCTTTACATGTTTCTTAGGTCCTGACAATTCTTTCCCCAGAGAGGAAATTCTGTTATCTGCTTCCTTCCATTTTCTGGCCATCCACTACCTGGCCAGAGGTCCTCCCTCAGAAAGCTTACATTCTAGTATAGTGTAAGACAATTTTAGAAAGGGGTAGCCAGGGCTAATACACACTTACAGATCAACTGGGTGGCAGCCTTGAGGGCAGTAAAAGTGGTCATTCCTGCCTGGCTTGTGGCCCACAGTATGTGCTTAATTCTTCTTAGCTCAATATGTAAAAATACACAAAACACGGTGGGTTTTTAGAAAATCACGATTTGGCTGAGGAGTGACTGCACTATCTTTAATCAAAACATTTAAAATACTGTTTCTATATTGGAAGAGACTAAAGAGGTGTAACAACTAAATACAATGCTTATCCCTGGATTAAAAAGATAACAGCTATCAAGACCATGACTGGTACAAATGGGGATATTTAAATCTGCACAGTTTATTATAGTATTGTACCACCATTAAACTTCTTGAGCATGATCATTGTATCATTGTATCATGCATCATAGGAGAATGCCCTTATTCCAAAATATCAGGTGTGAAGTGTCATAATATAATTTATTTTCAGAATCTATTTACAGAAAGTGAGAAGTACACACACATGTATAGCACAAGAGTAAGGCAGGAAATACGGTAAAATGTTAACAACTGAAAAATCTAAGTGACAGGTACACAGATGTTCATTATATTATTGTAGCTTTGGAAATTTTCAATAGAAAATTGGAAAAAACAAACAACAAAGGATGAAAAATGCTTTAAAGATTACCTTAAATGGTTTTTGAAGAGAAAGCCAGAAGAGAAGAAAAAATTTACACATCTGTTCTGAAACCAAACACAAATACTTTTTATTTATGGGATATCATTTAACATCAATTTCATTGAAACCTAAAACCAGTTTGCTTTACTCAAGTTAGGTGGCATAAGCTGGGAGTCACAGGACTTGCACACTTTTATGAATGTAATGCAAATACTGACAACATGAAGCATTCACAGTTATAGGTTACCTGCTGTCATTGAACAGTAACCCCCAATAGAAATTATTTTATGAAAAAAGCAACCCACGTTTTGGTCTCATTTACAGACACCCAACATTTTAGTTGGTCAACGAAATGTATACATTTATTATACAACATATGAAGGAATACAGGATAAGGCTTACAGAGGTATTTTAGCAGTTGTAATAATAAAAACTAAGGACACAAACTAACTTTTAAAGCTTTCTGTATAAACTTCAAAAGCATTGTTAAAATGGAGAGTGAGAGACAAAATAAATCTATTGTGAAACCAGAATCTAGGTTTGTCTAGTCAGATTTATAAAAATGTAATTCAGAGTTCATGCTTCAAAAAAGGTGCATGTAACATTACAGTGGATATTTGGGGCAAATCAAGTAATAAAATTTCTGACCTACTTCAGCAGCAAACATCTAAAGGTTGTATTCCATGACAACAGAGTATTGCAATGTGGAGTTCAAAACACAATAGAAAAAGAGAAAGGTTTGTAGACTTAGGTACTAAAGAAAACCCAGATGAAGGCACCCTAATTTATTCAACAGTAGCCAGTAAATAAGTGCTTGATGATTGTTCAATTTTGAGAGGTTTTTAAGAAAATGTATTGTATTACTCTGACCCCTTTTTCTCCCCTTAGAAATAACTATATAAAATCAAGAAAACCAAGGGTAAGTACTCTGCCACTCAGCGGTCACAGAGGTTTATTTTTCAAGGCAATTTAAAGATTATTTGGAGTTTTCTTAATATGCAAGATTATCCCTTTGGAATACTTACTTTCTTATCATACATAATGCAATAGTTTTTACACAGTTTTTTCCCTACCATCAACATGTTGATTGTGGATTAACTGTAACATCTCCCTCTGTAACAATCCTCTCATTTTAGAATTAACTGTGCTTATTAGCATTTAAAAAAAAATCTATATTCTAACATAATGTTTAAAATAACTCCATCTATGATTTACATTTGCTTTAAATAAAGCTACAGTTGATCAAATTTAAAGAACTGTATGACCTGTTGCCTTTAAAGTGTAATTTTTTAACTTTATGGAATGATTTTGAAAATGAATCAATTCACAGATCCAAATCTGCCTAGGCCAGCCACCACTGCAAAACAAATGCATCCATCACATCAGTTTTAATAGCTGTTGCTTGCCATCAACATGTTCTATTCTTTTCAGATATTGGTTTATGCAAACTGGTATTAATTTTTAAGGTTGAAAGTGAATCTGCAAAGAAGGAGTGGTTACGTATGCTTAATCACTACAGGGTTTTTTAAACTTCTGGTTTATTTCACAGCAAATAAAACCTTTCGTTTGGTAGAAAAAGAAAGTCGTTGCATTCTACTATATCATGATTTTGTATACACACACGCACTGTATATACATACAAAATTTCTTTCTTTGGTGGGTTAGTTAGGGAAAAAATATGAAAATGTGAACACTGTTTGCAAAGAAATGGTAAAATAGTGGTCAAGAGTAGCATTGTCTGTGTGCTTTATTCACTTAATGCCATTTAAAGGATCACATGTCACCCAAAAGAATTTTTAGCCAGACTTCCAAATAACCCAAACCTTTTCCAATCATCACATGCTTAAATCACGGATCTTGCTGACGACAGCATTTACTTCTTCAAACGCACCACTCACTCAAATCATCAGACTTTTGTGTTTTCACAGAACTTTAGGGACTGAATTAGTCATTCAATAGCACCAGATAGTTGGGGTGAAAACATCATCTCTATATTTCCTCAAGAATGGCAAAAAAAAAAAAAAAAAAAAAAAAAAAAAAAAAAAAAAAAAAAAAAAAGACATAAAATACAAACCTAAAAATACCATTCTGTTTATTCTTGCTTCCTCATCCACAAAAATAATGGCCATCACCCTTCTGTACAAATAACTCAGGTAATGAAAAGTGGCCCCTCTAGGACAGGTCCTAGCATGTACTGGGTTAGCTCAATGCTGGTGGTTTCTTGTCCACTGCCTGCAATGGACATGCTGCCAGGAAAAGCCTAGCATGAAACAAACAAACAAGGAAAACAAAACAGAAAACAAAACAGCTCTCACTTATAGTATGCTTGTTTTCTCAAAAGGCTGGAAAATTACACACCATGAAAGCTTAACTGAAAATTCAAGCCACAACTAGAAGTGTGATGCAGTTATAAATAGCCAGCAAAACCATGAGGTTTTCATTGAGGAGGCAAAATAAATTTTACTTAGAGTGGCAAAGAAAGCATTAGCAGATCAATCACTGGCTAGAAGAATGCAAAAGGAAAAAAAGAAAACGAACAAAAAAGTTAAAGAATGTTTACAAGAGTTTAAATCCCATTCTTTTAAGAAAAGAGGTGCAATTTGAGTTTGTTCATTGGTACCTACATTCAAGCTACTATAGTTTTAACACTAAAAAATAAACAACTTATATACCTCGTGTGGTGGAAATAATTTGTGGCATGTTACATATCTATATGTTCAAATAATTATAACTTTCATCATTTTAGAACACTAATATTGTTAAATATACCAAATGATATTTGGCATATGCCTCTGAAAAGTTATGACTCTTACCTCCTTCCAGAAGTTGGCCTCTTAAACAGTAAGGTTAATTCTGGCAATGTTTGTTCATGGTAACAGTTTTGTCGTGTTTTCTGATATGCTACATAGGAGACCAAATAAAGTATAATTGGTTCATTCAAAAAAGGGACTAGAAATGCCACAAAATTATTTTTACAATACATTTTTCAGAAATAATCTCTAGGTGAAGATTTTTCCTTTTATACACATATACAAAATTTAAACAGCAATATACACATAATCACAGTGAGGACATTGGCAAATTCACCAATCTGTAGTGTAAATACAAACTGCAAAGCAGCCTTCAAAGAGAACAATGCCACACAGCAAGCAGAGCTGGCCAATTCAATAGCAAACACCAACATGTTCCTGCGAAAGGGAAACAGTGCAAGAAAAGCAGCATGCGCTTTGATACAAACAGCAATTTATGGCTAATGGGTGACATAACTGTGGTAACAGTGACTCTCTCGCTGCTATGCATAAAGTCCTAGGACATCTGTTTGTCTTTATACCATTCCACAAACTCGTCCAACAAAACTGGCCCTAGAGTGAAAGAGAGAAACAGTAGTAGTAGTAGTAGTAATAATAATAATAATAATAATAATAATGATGTAGCCGAGGCTTTTCCCAATGAAGATGATATAGAAAGGTACATGAATGGCAGAAGGGTAGCGGCAGTACTTACATGCTCCATCTTCATCATAGTTGCTGAGGTCAAGATTAATTGTTCTGCTAAACTCTAGGACATTGCACCACTGGTCTTTATTAATAACTTTGTATTTTGATTGCTGATGGAGGGAAAAGTAATATGAATTACTGACACTTGAACAAATGGGACGGTTTCAATTGCTCTATGAATCAACATTTAAGTTCATGTAAGGTTAACTCTTTGCATTTAAGGTTTGTTAAGCACCAATCTAGGAGGATGGTGAGGGAGAGTAAGAGTTGAATTTAAGATGACAATTGTCATTACAAAAATATTATAGGGTCTCAATACAAAATGGAAAGCACATCAAAATAACATAATTATATATCCCCAGAAGTGAAAATTCTAAACTGCAAAAGCTGTTTTATATAAAATGGGGATATCTACTTCATAAAGATACTGTAAGAATTAAAAGAGATAATTTACTAATTTATGTGAAACACTTCATTCAGTGCTTGGCACAAAGTAAGTGCTAAATAAAGAGTAGCTCCCATTAATATAACCCTTGACATAACCAGCACTGCCCATGGCCAAGCCTTTGGCTTAAAGCACACACAGCAGCAGGTTACTTGATGAGATCCAGTAAGTGCTGCAAGTGGTCTCAAAACTAGGTATTCTTGTCACAGAAAAAAATTACTGTTCTAATAATTCAAAACTGGAATCTGATCATAAAAGAAACTAGAATAGCTGTGAAATAGTTTTTCTATTCCTCTTAGACAAGAACTTTGCCATGTATCTATTTAAAAATACAGTATCCCTGTACAAAATTCATAAATAAAACCCAGAACCAATGATTTTTAAATCCTCCCCACTTAAATCAGAAACATAGTAAAACAATACAAGTACATAAAAAGCAAAGAGATTTGGGCCAATGGTTTTGAGGATGCAAACACAAGAAAAGCTGAAATGAGAGGAATACTGTCTTTTTTAAAGAAAAATGCAAACTAATATAAGAGAACAAAGCACAGACTACAAGTTTAACTTTCTAAGCAAGTAAAAGCAAAAACCAGTTCTGAAACAGTTGATGATGCACCTGGAATTATGCAAAGTCAGATTTCCTCCAGGCCAGATCTTCCAGCTTAAGACTCTTTACACGCAGGTGCAAATCCAGCTAAACTCTCTGAGAACAGGAAACTATTTCTATTTATTTTTCCAAATAATGATAACTCATCTCAACAGATTGCCAGAGAAATCAGAACAGATTATATGTCGACATGGACTACTGGGTAAACAGACACTTACATAAAACTAGTTTTTAAATTTTTGAGGAGTCCCAGTTAGTAATGTTAAAAGAAATTTTTAGTAACAGTTCTTAAAGAATCCTATCAGATATTAAAATTTTCTGGACTATTACATAAAGTAAGTTGTGAGAAAGATTATTCAAGAGTGAAGCCAGAGTCATCATACAGCCCACCATTTTCTCAAAGACCCAACACCCTCATCCTTGCAAACAAAGGACCGTTTTTAGAAGGGCTTGAGGTGGGAGGGAAAGGAGGATGCCATATATGACAACCCAAGTAACTCAAACTTGTACCCCATATACTTCCAGGTCCCACAGAATGACACTTCAACAAAACCAGTAGCTCAGAATTTCTGATCATCAATACTTAAAGCACACAAACAATGATGGAATAAAGTGCTGGACTGTTTTGATACTGATCTGAAGACAATTTAAACTGAAGGAGATATTGTCAGTTTGCCTAATACTTAGATTGATCTAAGGTCCTCAAGTTACTTGGTGATAAGAGTAGATAAGAACGGATTACAAACTAATTTTGGTAAGAAGGCAGATGACTGTCTTTTAAACCTCTGCTTAATAAAAGTGGAAGTTCATCTAAAGTCAAAAGAAAGTAAATCTTCTTCTTCTATTGTTACAAAGAACAGAAAATCTAAACAAAAGTGAAGCTTTAAAATGGGGATGAGAAAAGAGAGAAAAGGACAGAGCTGTGGCTGTTTTGGATGCATTTTTAATGTGGAATGAAGCAACACAACATTAAACGCATACACAGATGCACTCCAAGAAGATAGGTAGTTGCTGACTGACAGCAATTGTCGCCATAATTCCTACATAGACAGAAAAGTACAAACAAAAAATTACATACAATGGGTAAATAAAATTATTTGGTAGTTCTAAGCAAGCAAACATACATTTCATAAAACAACAATTTGGTACCTCTAAGAATTGGTGAAAAACTGGAAAAAGGGGCCAGATTTTTCCTAATAACAGTCCCAACATGCACTTGGCAGTGTTTATGTCTAGGCTGCGCTGGTCCTTTTCCTGTTTAACAAACAAAAACAAGGATGAGCCAGATGCCCCCAAATAATAAATTCCAATAATTGCAAATGTGTATTCACTTCAACAGGAAATTAGTAAACAGCTCATTTATCATACACCTTAAAGACCCTGCATCCAGACTAAGGTTGGGGAGGGGAGGTAGTCAAACACAATGGAAAGCTTCGGCATTGCGATATTATATAAATTTACTGTGAGAAAGATTTATGTCAACTGAATGATCACCCTAACGCAAAATCAATTAGTTATGTTGTAGCAGTTTCTACAGTCTTTTCATGGGATTAATAAAAACTTGTAACTCAATCACTTGCATGTTTGACATTTATGATAATTATCAAAATCCTAATTGTTGACCATAAAGCCTTTAACATAACTTAACGGAGCTTAAAGGTTTTGATGCCTTTGATTAGGAATCAGGTTTCCATAATAAAAATATTTTTTTCAACAATTTGATTTCATTGATAAATATTTTTCTTGAACCTAAACATGCTGGAATTAACTTCAGCTCATACCAAATGCTGGGGCTCTGAAGTGTCTCTCTAAATCAAAGGATATATTCATCTACCCACTCTGGTGGAAGGCAGGAAGTCTATCAATACAGTCCTTCAATAGACAGATGGATAGATAGATTTCTAAGATGTAAATTTCCTAGTAGAATACACCTAACTAGTAACCAAGTGAAAGACAACATTCCGTAAGGACACCAGAAAAAAGATAAGAACATAAAGCTAAATATGGGCAGGGTAAGCTCATTCCACTTACATTTGCAATTAAGGATCCTAATTTCTCATTCCCGTCCTTCTTATATGCTTCCATTCCAGAACTACAAGTGGTCAGTTTCCATGGAAAGGAATAGAGGGCCTGGGACCATAAGCGTACCTTACATATCCAAAGCTAGTTTTCATATGGTATCTTAACTACAGTGGAAATTTGTAAAAGTATTTTTCTACAAAGGGAGAAAGTGCCTGGCTAGTCCAGTGGAGTGGAATCTAAATGTTCACATTAAGGGATGATGCTGTGACCACCACCTTAAGCCACATATGCAGCCATATATACCTCCTGATAAAATAAATCATCACTGCAAGGACTCTTAACAGTGAGGTACTCTTTAGCACACCATTTCTAGCCATGACCCTGAATTGGGACTTAATACGGCAAATGTAAGGGCCTCACTTAACAACAACAATCAAGGTAGATGAAGATAAGGAAACTTGTTGTCTAAGGAAGATGTGCAATAGATCTGGCCTTTTGGTCTAGGTTGTGAAGTGTAACAACTGTCCATGAATAGACCAGGTCAGATGGCTCCGCATCAATCTTCTTTCAGAGGTCACATAACTTAATTCTGATGAGGGCAGGTGTATCTCAGTTCCACAGTTCTATGCAAACAGGTGGGACCTCCTTTCCACAGGGTTCTCTGCCTGCCCCTTGGCCATATGTATTGTCCGGCTCAGGGCTGCAGTACGCACTCCCAATGGAGAAGAGGACAGGAGAAGAGGTCATCTAGAGACTGCCTGCCTTTTGCCAGCCAAACTGCATTGATTTGTTGTGTTTCAAGGGCTTACACTTCTGTGATGCACCGTGCAAGCAAATGCAAAACTTCCTCTTACCCTGTAACACAGGTGTGGCAGATGGCAACAGCACACCATACTATGAAGCAATCCACAAGATAAACGAGTAAACTGTTGAGAAACACACGCGGCACCACAGGACTGGGCCAAAGTCCATTTGTTGAACAACAGCTCATGCAGCACTGGGCTGACGACACTGGCGCTCTGGAAAAGTTTTCCCTTTGCCGAGTTTGTAATCATTCACTAAACCCCAAATCTCTAGTCTTGTTGTGATATATATTGTGCCTTCTTCCATCATCATCATCAATGCCTACGTCCCCGTCACAATGGACATACACTAAGGTGACAAAAAAGAAAAAAAAGATACAAAAGACCTGGACAGACTCTTTGCAACAATATAATCATCTGACAAACTGATGATCATGAAGGATTTCAATGCATATGTTTGGCAGTGATGCCAAAACATGGAGGAAAGGCATCAGACTCACAGGACTGGAAAGCTGAACAGCACTCACTTACTCCTGCTCTGCAAGGGTGCCAGCCAGCAGCTCTCAATCACTAACACCATCTTCGGCCTAGCAAATAAGAGAAAGATATTATGGATGCACTCACAATCTGAACAGTGGCATCTCACTGATAACCAACATTGCCTGTGAGTGGACTTGTGGCTATGTGCAAATGACCATAACTGGAAACACTAAAAATTCCCGGGAACAAGAGTCGAGAGCTCCCCCACAGCAAACATCTAATAAACATCAAAATTGGAGACACTCACAGGGGGTTCTCTACAACAATGATCCTAATGACATTCTCTGCAAAAGAGTTCCCATTTAAAAGTGAAATGAATCTCCCAGGATGCTATCAGGCAGCCATCGACTTTATAGGCATTTAAAAAAAAAAAATCACCATAACAAATTCAAGGAGTACAGTGAAGACATCCAAAAGCTCTTTGTAAGAAATTAAAATTATACACTGTCAGCACCAATCCTGTGACCCTCTGCTCATGGAGCACCAAGGAGCAAGGGGCAGACCAATAGATTCCTGCATCCCAAGGTCAGAATCAGACAGAAGGTACCTTGAGAGCCTGCCAAGAGCCAACCAGCATCCCCAGAAGGCCCATCGAGGTTAAAGGAGAAGGAAATGAAAACATCTCTCCCTACCCACCTCTTGACCTGAAATGTGTATGTATTTCATAAACTTTAATTTACTAAGATAAAAAGAATTTTGTGTCATTTTTCAAATAGTAATACGAACTGAACAGGCTCTATACATGAAAGACATATCAATCCCCCACAACATACAACTAGATTCTACTTTGTGGTCTTCCTTAATGTAGATTAAAAATAGAAGTTATAGAATGATATAGTACAGCTGCGAAACCAAAGGATCCTACTCTAAATATTCTACGTTATGTTTTATAAATGGAATAAATATACTCCATAAGCTAAAGACTAATAACAGCTAGTGTAAAGAACAGTGAAATTTTATTAAAATCTGATTTAGAGTTCTAGTATGAAATAAAAAACCAGTGCCTTTGTTTACATAATACTGTTTCCGTACAGGTCCTCCTGTAAGAGGTGACAGTTAAGCATTTTTTTCTTAGATGACACAAATGACCTAACAACTGAAACAAAATAGTTAACTGTAAACATGTAAATATAAATATATTACAAAAATGACCTTTAAACATCTGAGTACCCAGATCTGTTAAATCAAAGGCCTCTAACTATTTCAAAAGATGTATTTCCAATTTATACCAAACTTTACAGCTTAAGACTTACATATGAAAAAGAGGAATGCTGAATTATTAAAATTACAAAGAAAAAAATTCAACAGGAAAAATAAAAACCCAGAATATTTTCAAGAGAGACTAGCTGGAATCAAGAAATAATATACAAGCAATCACAATTCCAAACATAAATGGTGAAGTCAGAAATCGGTACATGAAATCAAAAGGCCTTAAAAGCAAAGACCTATTACATGTGTCATGGTGTTCCAATTGAGGCCACAGGAAAAACAGACATAGAGAAAATGCAGTTCTCCTTAACCCAGCTACCTAAGTAAACAAAAGATAAAAATAGAGGGCTGTAAAGAGCTCATATCTTAAATATTGTGGCTCAGTTTATGAAACCAAAAATATAGCAAAACAATTTTTTGAATGGGAGTTTATGCTCTTAGAACTTAGCTAACATTAGTTTAGAGATAATAATGTTTGCAAGGCAATCGATTAAGCTCAATTCTTGACACTTGCTTTAAAACAAATGGAAAACATCTGCCAACTGGCACAGGAGTTCATTATTATTTTATTTGGTACAATCTGATTCTACTACTGTAAGCACTACTCTCAAAAAATGTCATTATTTGAAACGACATCTGCAGACACCTAAGTAATATCAGTGAAGAATTCAACAATTATTTCTAATTCTATGGTTAACTTTTCCTGAGAACTTACTTCAAGTTAGAAACTGTTCTAAGTGCCTTACACTTAAACTTATTTCACTTCTATTAGTAAACAGGGATTACTATAATCCCCAATTTATAAATAAGGAAACTGAGGCACAAGGAGTTAAATATAGTCAACAAACGGTAGAGCTGGAACTTGAGCTAGGAAGTTGATTGCAAGCTGGAGCTCTTCACTGCCTACCAGGCTGCTTCCCTCAGAAGTAAGGAGGGAAGAGAGATTTCGATATGAAGAAACATACAGGCTAGCGGGCTCTACCAATAACTACTGAGCAAATTTGCCTCGCTCTGCAACAACTAAAGAGGAATCTTAAGGATAAAACTAAGATTTTCAGTGTAACAGATGTGGGCTTAGATGACTCCATGATATTCTTATTCTTACTATGACCCAGGTCTACCTTCTGTTTTCTTTGTAACTGACAATGAAGTATGAGGGAAAGTGTGAGGGGAGTGTGTGAGTGTGCACGTGGATACACGTTTGGGTGGTGGCGTTGTGTGGAGAAGGAAATTGGATGAATACATCAACTAACAAATGAAAGGCTGACTCAAATCAGAAGAGGAAGTGAATCCAAATGATTGCAGGAGATTTAGGTTAAGCTTCAAGAGAAAATTTCTCTGATAACAGGGGTTGTTGAACACAAGACCTAGCAAAATTTTCCTTGGTGAATTCTATGAGTAATATCCATAATCATTCCTGGTTTGGCCATTGTGGTACTGAGAGGAGGACAGTGTACCAGCTTGAACCTGTGTGGTTGCTTACAGTTTCCTGAAACATGGCCTCAGAAACACTGGAGAAGAGCAGTCGGCACCTTCTGCTGGGAGAGTACATGGAGGGGCTGACAGACTTGCTCTCTAACCTGCCACAAGATTACCTCTCAGTAAAAGCCATTCCCACTGGAGCGTTCTGCCTCCACAAGACTCTTCATGCAACTTCTTTAAGGTTTTATTTCAAGAAGT